TTTGTTTTTTTTTTTTTTTTTTTTTTTTTTTTTTTTTTTTTTTTTTTTTTTTTTTTTTTTTTTTTTTTTTTTCAATGGTCCTGGCTCCTTTCCGTTCTGGGGAGCATATCAGTTGATTTCTTACCCCATCCCTAAGTGTGTTCTCTGCAGGGAGAATGCAACCATGTACTCGAAGAAAACAAGCAGAACAACCATTGTCACCCGTGGCTGTTGATTCCAGTAATCCTTCTTGAGCAGTAATATATAAATACTAACACTGTCCATCAGTCCGCCCGGCAAGGGCGAGGGTACTTCTTGCAGGTGTAGGTGAGAAACTGAAATGCACTGAGGACTCAAACATCAGGCTTTTCCCATCACAGCTCCTTTCTCTGCTTGCTAAGTCCTAGCCCTCCAAACCACCCTGCAAATCACCCTTCCAAACCACCCTGCAAACCACCCTTCCAAACCACGTTCGGAAACATCCTCCCAAACACCCTCCAAAACACCCTCCAAAACACCCTAAAAAACGCCCTCCAAAACAACCTCTACAAGATCCCTCTTTCCTCTAACCCGGACCCTTCCAGTCCCTCGTTCACAACCCCTCAACTGCCCAACGACCCCCTACCATTCTGGAACCACCTCACATCGGCCATGAACAGGATTCACAATATTGTGCAATGAATGAATGTGGAAATACAATTCTGACTCCGCTCCGCATTAATGTGCAATAACCCCCTCCAATGTGCCTCGTTGTTGTCTAAGGGCCACCCCCGCAGGCCAAAGAAAAAGGCCTTTCGGCCCTGTGCCCAACCGAGGGGTGAGAAACTAGAGCCTGAGACGTGGCTCAGCAGCCCTGCGCCCGACAGTTGACCAAAAGTCAACTGTACGAGGCCCTCCAGTCAAAGTCTGCATGGACCCAGCCTAGGCCGCCGGTCAGACACACACACTTGTTTGTATGCAGGTATAAAGACAGCATTCGGACCAAGTGGAAGTCTGCAACTTTACAGATCCAGACCATCGGCTGTGAGTCAATCTGAGCCTCCATGGGTGTTACATGCCCAGTTGGGCGATGTACATAATAACCGAGGATCCGCAATGTGATAAAAAGGACTGAATGGACAATGCAGTGCAAGTGGAATCTCAACAAGCAATGTGAATTCCGATACATACAAAAGGTGCTTTATAGCGCAGTGGAAGACTTAGATACAAGTCCTGACCTGACCAAGACTGACCTTTATCACGTTGTACAAGATAGCGAAGCAGAATGCTGCGCCGGGGGAGGGGTTGGCAGACGAATTGTTGGTGCCAGGACATGGCTACAAGGGGCGAGGGGACAGTGTTCAAGTGGAGGAGGGTCCAGAGGCCGCGGTGGAGGAGTAGGAAGTGGATGTGGGAGGGCTGGATCCGGTGGGGCGGGAAGCCTGGTGGGTGGAGCGGCCGGCCTTGGGGCAATTGGTTTGCTGATGCCCTAGCTGGCGGCAACGGAAACAACCGCTGTTGGCCTGGAGGAAGGCGCGTTCGGCAGGGGTGAGCTTTTTGAGACGAGGGGGTTGGGGGGAGGAGGAAGGCTGGTAGGCCAGGCGTTGCCGTTCCATCCTCATGAGATGGACAGCCTGGAAGTCTTCCTCGGTGAATTGGGCTGGGTCAAGGGACTCGGGAGAGGAGTCAAGGTCGTCGTCGGAGGCCATGTTGTGGAAAAACCGGGTGCGGTTGGGGGCGGCTGGTTGTTGAGAGCGGAGGTGAGGAAGGCGACCATGGTGGAGAAGGCAGGTAAGGAGATCGGTGAGAGGGAGCTCGGGCTCATGGGCGAGGGCTGCGGCGAGGTGGGGGAACCATACCCACTTGATGCGGGAGATGAAGACGTAGTCGGGAATGAGAGTCGACGGGATGTGGAGGCGGAGGGAGCGAACGTATTGGATGAATCGCTCGGTGGGGCCGGTTTGGCGGAGGTTGCAAAATTGATCGATGTAGTCATCGATGGTCTTTTGCGGACGGAAGGTGGCGATGAGAAGGTCGGCCCATTGAAGGAAGGTGATGCGGGGAAGGCCGTTGGCTCGGCGGTTGTTGGCTTCGGTTAACCACCATTGAGCGGCGGCGCCTTGGAGGCGGGAGGTTGCGGTGGGGAGCCAATAAGCGACGGGCATGTTATGGAGATCGAAGGCATTTTGAATTTGAGAGAGGAGAAGGAGGACATCCTCGTGGGGGAGGTCGGAGAACGTCGCGATATCGGTGGCGCAGAAGGAGCGGGGAATGGCCCCGTTGCGGGGGACGATGCAAGCGAGGGTGTTGAAGTTGCGGTCGTCGGGAGAGGTGTCGTAGCAGGTGTGGTCCTGACTGCGGTCACCAAGGAGGTAGCAAGGAGGAGGTTGGGGTATGGCGGGGTGAACGCCCGAAAGGACTTGGGAGTAAGAGGGGTGGACAAAGGGGATGGTGGAAGTAGTGAGGATAGGTTGGGTGAGGGGGGAGGAGAGGCGAAGGGGAGTGGTTCGTGTAGTGGTGGAAGCGCTTGTAGTAGGTTGTGAGGAGGGGAGGGAAACGGGGAAGGAAGTGACGGGGGTGGAAGAAGGTGTGGTGGAGGACGGTGGGGGTGTTGGAGGATGAGGGCTGGCCGGCTTGGCCGGCGGAGAGGCTTTGGCCAGATTGGCCGGAGGAGGAGGGGGGTGATGACGTCGTGAAGACTATGATGGCGGGTGTGTGGTTTTTGAGGGAGGTGACGCAATCGGATATGGAGGTCATGGAGGCCTCGATTTTGCGGAGCGAGGCGGAGAGTGCTTGAAACATGGAGAGGAGAGATATGTTCTCCCCGGTGCCTGGCTGGTCGACAAGCTCGCGGTGGATATCCTCGACGGAATCCATGTCGAGCGAGCCCATGTTGAGGCTTGAGGTGCCTTCAGCCATGGGGAAGGACGAAGGTGGGGCAGAGGGAGAAGATGGAGTGGAGGGGACAACGGAGGTGGCAGCAGCGGCGTCGGCGGCGCGTTGGGAGGTCTTGGATAGGCGGGGAGGCATTGGGAGTGGTTTCTAATCTCCATTTAGAAAAATGATGGTTGATTTAAGTCGCGATTAGTGAGAGAGGAGGGGGGGGGGTGGAATGAATATTCATGGGCAAAGCTTTGGGAAAGAAAATTAAAATCGAAACGTAAATTTTGAATGGAATAAAATTTGGCGAAGAAAAATTGCAGAAAATTCGGGCTAAAGGAAAAGGGAAAAATTAAATTTTCAAGATAATGAACTTTGAATTTATTCGATTAATTTTCAAAAGGGAAAAACTCTTGGAAAGAAATTCTAAATGACAATAAAAAAAATTCGGGCTATTTTATGTGACAAAATGCGGAAAATTTAAAATTGGAATAAATGGAAAAGTTAAAAAAAAATTGCCATATTTTGGGGGGGTTATTTTGAAATTTTTAATGAATTTAAATGACAATTATGAAAATAATTTAAATCCGGATTTCCGAATTACTTTGAAAAAGAAAAGAAATGTTGGAAAAGAAAAAGATTAAATTCGAGAAAATTAAAACAAGATTTGAAAAGAAAAAAAAAAAGAATTAATTTATTTCGAATTTCAGGTATTGGAAATAAATTAAAGGGAAGATTCAAATTTGGTTAATGTCCAGAATTTCAAAACGAAAAGAAAGTCGAATTCGGATTTAAAAATTGATTTGGTTCTTTTTCGGGATTTAATTATTTAAGTAAAAAAAATCTTTTTGGAAGAGGAATAGGAATTTCAAAAACGGAAATACTATTTTCAGGTGGAATAAAATTTTAGGATATTTCCGACGAAGTAAATTTCGAATTGCAAAATATTCGGGAAATAAAGTATTTTGCGAGGATTTGAGTCCTCGGCAGGCCTAAGGGGCCCCGGTTTCAGTGGTGCCCGCCCTAAGTGAAGGCGGGCCTAACATTTTACAAGAGGCCTTTGACTGTCAATTTCATATTTGGGTACAGGCAGTTGCGACGCGCCAGTTGGTTGAGAGAAACACAGGCCGAGCAACAAAGGCATTTCCAAGGCCTACCGGGCCCTTCCAAAGAATGCATGGCCTCGGCGTGAATCGCAGCCTCATACATTGACAGTTGGGAGGCCCAACCGAATGAGGCCTAGATGCTGCAAGTAGCACGCAGCATCCTGGGGCCTACCGGAAGCTTCTGGGCCAGTGCAGCCAGGCTGCGCAAGCAGGCCAGCTCTTTCCTTTATAGCTCTTTCCATAAAGGAAAGAGCTCTCCCCTGGGATGGGCATTCGGTCACTTGCTGGCTGGCGGCAGCGCTGCTTGAGCAATTGCTCACGGGCTGGCTGCCGACATTGGAGCAAGAGGCTGCGCACGTGCGGTTGTGTGTGGGAGCAGGCCGCTGCTGAGGGCAGCACCATAGCCAGCCTCCATAGCGGGTTGGGCTTGGATACACAGTGAGGCCCAGGGGTGGTCTTCGGGTGCAAGAGAGGACAGGTGTGGGTGTTAAGTCAAGGAAGGGCGAAGGATGATGATGATGATGATGTGAGAGCACTTACCTGGTATTGGCGATGGTCCGCATATGGGCGACATCTTCAAGTACTTCGGGCTGCTGCTGATGCCAACAGTTGCATTGTCTATTATTAGGCTGATCGTAGCTGTGTAGGAGTAGGCTGGGCGCCGAGCGCCAAGTAGGAGTGTGAAGGGACTGGACTCTTGTGTTGCTGAAGGAGAGAGAAAGCTCTCCATGACATTGGTTTTCAGTACTACGAACCTCCATTGGTGTATTTTTGGTGCAATGCTGCTCTCTGGACACAGTGTGACTATCTGGCTTTTAATGTGATGGTGTAATCTGGATTTATCATCTCGCTGTTGCTTATTTTCCTTGCAATTTGGTATCGGAGCTGGTTCATATTGCGCTTCATTGGTTCTTCGCAATAGCTGTTCGGTGCTTCACATGAGGTGTGGGGCCGTGATAAGGCTTGGGCGTTGAACGAAGGGCGGCCCAGGGTCGTGTGGGCGCGCCAGGGAGCTATGTGGTGACATACGGGGTGTATGCTGGATGATGAGAACTCGCTGATGTGGCATATTAAGCCGAGGTGGAACCACATTCTGCTGTTGGTTGTGTCGAGGCAAAGACCGGTCATCATAATTGCACATCAGGTTGCCGGTGAGAAATCTGTGGTTGGGGGCAGCATTATGAGGTACGTTGCTCTCTTCCTTATCTACCCTCTTCATTGCTTCTTACCGTGAGGAAGTGAGTTCTGCCTTGAGAGTCCTCTCGATGTGAGGTGTCGCGAGCGCTCAACCTTGAGAGTCGACATTCTTCCTGGGCAGCAAGCTGGTGGGAGACAGGCGAAGCCTCTGAAGGGCCATGGCCGAAGCACTCGGGTCACGGTCACCATGCCAACCCACTGGGACTAGTACACGCATGCTTTGCCGCAACTCCTTGGTTCTACTGCTTGCACAATAGAGGTCATGCAGGGCATGCCAGCCCTTTGACAGACGCTTACCAGACCGTCTTTAAATATTTCTGGCTGGGGACTCGGTGTTGAATCTAGCTGTGATCGTCGTCCTGTCTGCGACATTAAATAATTCCTGAGGAGATGGGGGATCTCCTTAAATCCCTCCTGATCAGCCAGATCAACCGGGTGTAAGGCTCGTTGCATGCGAGGGTAAATAATGTGCAGGGGCTGGCAGGTTCGGCGTTGACTTGGGGCAGAGGGGTGGGCCGGATTGCACACCTTTCAGACACGCTGCTCAACCAGATGCTCAGGACGTTGACACAAAGCGACCACTCAAGAAGGACACAGGGGGAGGGGGGATTCCAGTAACTGTTCGAAGTGGCAATCAACAGACAATCTGCCATCAAGCATACATCTCCAACAGGAGATGTTACCTCCTTGACTGCACACATGGGGGAGATACCACGGATGAGAGATGGGGGGAGAGGCAAGACGAAGCAGGAGGCGAGGGAGAAGACCAAGATCGCGATAGCAAATCCAAAATAGTCCCTTGACGAATGTCCCATCCATGTCTGCCTCAAAAATGTCGGATCAGATCCCGGGCGCTATGACCGATGTAACCTCTGCCTGTATCCTGTGCCTGTAACCTCTCTCTCTCTATCTGAAGAAGAAGAAGAAGAAGGAGGAGGAGGAGGAGGAGGAAGAAGGAGGGAAGAGGGAGATGAGATGGAGGGCGAGACGAAGAAGAAGAAGATGCCATCCTCCTTGCTGTCTCACCTGCAGGTAACTGCTGCCGTGCACTGACCGCCATGTTGTTGTCGTCCTGTGCAGGTAGCGTGCAGAGTCCGAGCTATGGCGCCAGGTAAGTCCGTCGCTGCAGGTATGGCCTCCGCCCCTCTGCCTCCTACGCCTCTACTACCAACCTCCAGTGCAGGGCTAAGCAGAGCAACCGCCTAACCAGCAGAGTGTCGCTTAAGAAGTGAGGTACTCGAACTGTGTGTCTGCCCAGGTAGTGGCCCAATTATATACAACGCTGGGCCCTACTGGGTGAGCTGCTATGTGGCCTAAAACACCCCGCACGATCGGGGCCCTTACCGGATGTCCTGACCGTGTTGCTGATGCAGCAAGGCGCAAACATGAGCCTGGGCGTCTTTCGGCCCTGCCTCCGGTGCACCCAGCCCAAGGCTGTGCCTTGGAGACTGCAAGTCTGAAACGACTTTGGAACAGACAAAAATAGGACAGCACATAAATAAATAAATAAATGAGTGTTGCCGCACTGCTGCCTCATATTGTACCTGCGGCCTAAAAGGCCGCCGTGGGCCTCCAGGGCGCCTGTTGGATGGCACGCGGCCTGGGGGGCCCTCAACACCTCTCGGGCCCTTCAAAATGGGCCAGTGTGAAGGTGCGGCATGTAACACCCAGCGTAACAGAACACAAGACTTTCTCAGGGTGGACGGGTTTAGGGCCGAAGAAGAGCCATCCTCTGCCATACGAGCTGGAGGGTTGAAAGGAGTTTGTGGCGCCGTCTCAACCAAATCCTCCGGCTCAGTAGGAGCAGATACTACCCCTACTGGCTGCTCCCTTTTGGGTTCGGAATGAGGGGACACCATGCGATGATGTGTTCCTTAGTGTCAAACTTGAGGCACAGTTGATTGTCCATCCGCTCCTCCCATTCTTTTGGGTTAGGCCCATTTTCTCCCAGGGCCGTCCAAAAGAAATGCCAGGATGTGCCAGGAGGGAGCGTGCCTCCTCTTCCTAAATCCTCCATTACTGGTGCCTCCCTTGTTGGCCACCATGGAGGTGGCATCACCCCTGTGCCGCACAAGCGTCGCATTGCACAATGTGCACAAGGCGCAAGCACGAGGGGGGGCCACATGGCCAGATACAAGGATCGGAATCTCTTTTTTTGGGGGGGGAGATGGAAACGTCACCAGCGAGTAATGGCAAAACTGAAAACGGGCCCGCGCAAAAAAAAAATTGAGCCACGCCAAGTCCCCAAAACCATTTACATGGGAAAGCCTCCCGACTTCGAATTCGACTTCGTTTAAAGTCGGCAAGGCATCTACCACACCCCGGAGTGACCCGTGGTTGCCATTTGCTCGCCTGCTCACCTCCGACATCTCCCATTTCCCCGCGTTGGTTGAAGGGCCTACCTTCGTCCTCCATAGCTGCGAAGTTGTGATGCAGGCAACACATTCAGCATGCAGTAAAAACACGGATCAACCAGCAAAAGCACGAATCGGGCAGCGGCAGCAGGCAGTGGGCGGCACCAGGCGCAGCAGGAGACGAGGAGGTCGGCCGAACAGGTGGGCAGCTACTAGCCCTCCCCTCCCCCCCCCCCCCCCCCCCCCCCCCCCCCCCCCCCCCCCCCCCCCCCCCCCTTCCCTTTTTTTTCGAAAAACTTTGACCATTTCTCGATTTACTCGTGTGATCCTTGCTCGTAGGGACCATATTAATATTCCCTGTATCGTTCCGATTTGAACAGATGTCTCGAAGCACCCCCACTTTCTCTCTCTCTCTCTCTCTCTCTCTCTCTCTCTCTCTCTCTCTCTCTCTCTCTCTCTCTCTCTCTCTCNTCTCTCTCTCTCTCTCTCTCTCTCTCTCTCTCTCTCTCTCTCTCTCTCTCTCTCTCTCTCCCTCTCTCTCTCTCTCTCTCTCTCTCTCTCTCTCGTGCGTGCGTGCGTGCGCGCTTTTTTTTC